TACTTGCCATGGAACAAAGACACGTTACTTCGCTTTCAATTGTTAAAATTTTGTTAAAGATAAATATCGTATGTTGTACAATTTTGTAAAAAGATAATCTTGTATTTTATTCTCATGCTTAAAATATTGAGGAATTGAATTTGTTCAGCACTAAAATATACCGATAAAAATGTCTAAGTTATGTAGATATATAGGCTTGATGCAGAACAATTTGTCGGACTACAATAAAAGTCATACGTGAAAATTCATATTTTCAGAGTATACTAAAATTGTTATATAAGTCAATGGTACCGGATGACATTCTAACTGTGCAATATAAACATTTGATACACAGTTACCTACATGTAAATGTATTTAAATAATCAGTTTAATTGATATTCAGCTGTATCAAAGAGAACAATACAATATATGTTTAAATGGTGTATGATGCATGGGCCTCATCCCCTGAAAATCCAAAGAATCTAATATACGTATACACGCTGCCACCGGAGGAACTTTCTTTAGATTTATTCTCAGCATCATTTTGTAATAGATCATTATGCATTTGTACAATCGGTAATCCTCGGCTGACTCCGCTTCACGCCATTCAAACAGGTTCGAGCCATCCGAGGAGCTCCGAGTGATATCCAAAAAAAAGAGAGAGAGAAGAAAAGAAAGAAAGAAAAAAGAGTTATAGTCACGAATTAGTGATGATTATAGGATATTAAAATCATATGCAGTAAACAGACACATAGAAAAAAAACTTCATTCGTTATAAAAGTACGTTATTTTACGGTATGATATTTAAAAAAGGAGTCATCACACAATATCATTAAGAACATGCACGAGCGTAAATAATCATTAATTTCACAATCGCAGTGTAATTTGAGATAGGTCTACGGCAACATCAACAAAGAGGTTGCACAACTTTAAAAATAAGAAATTCTTTTAATCTTCTGCAATTACATATACCATACAGTGTATGAGAAAGAAAACGGAACTATTGAGATACTGTTTGAAAAACAAAATAAGAATCTTTACCACCACTTGATGATGATGTGAATAACAAGACAATTAATGATCCGGCACTTAATTGATCAAATATAGAGAGGGAGAGGGGTGCATGTGCCATTGTATTTCCAAAGTGCCTATTGTCAAAATAAAAAAGAAATTAATAGTAAATTAATGCGTAAATAGATACTAAATACGAAAAAGAACAAGCAAAATCGAAACAAAAAAAGAAATTTATTAAAAAGAAAAAAAAATAAAGGAAATCAAGAGAGAGAATAACGAAAAAATCTTTGAATTAATTCTTGAAAAGCTTCCCTTTCCGTAGTAATATGAAACGAACATAAGCACCCCCCCCCCCCAAAAAAAAAGTGCGCGCGCGAGGATGTGTGGGGGTTGGGATTGGGGAGGAGGAGGGTGGATAATTAAATCATTTAATTATACAATATTGTTCAAGATTATAAGCTCAACTCAAAATGTCTGGAACTACTGTATTTGTCTTAAATTAAATTAGTAAACTTCAAATAAGAAAATATTTGAAGTCATCGGTCTTAATTTTCGACTTGAAGCTAACAACATCAGTTTAACCCAAATTAACATGTTTAGTTTTAATTTATTTCAATAAATCAATCGCCAGTCTTATCAGCTTCGGGCTCTTTGGACTGAAAGAAAACAGCACTGTGACACTGAACTCAAGTTGCCGAATGCATCTATAGGCCAAAATAACAAACATTTGTCATTAAGTTTAAGAAGGAATCCGGACTTGATAACGATCTCAACATACATAACGACATACGAGGTTTCTACTTTCACTTTCATATCAGTACATAACAAAACGAAAACAAATTCAAGTTTTAAAAAGTAGTAATGCCTTTAGCCTAACCTGTAATGTCATTATGTTTACATTTATTCAGAAACAAATTTTATCCAAACTTACTTACAGATCACAAACGTTAGGTTTACGAGATGCATTGATTTAACAATTACATGCATGATGCAAGTGATAAGAGTATATAGCGATAGAGAGTTCATACGCACCTGTAACAATAAAATTAAATAATGAAATTATATTTAAACAATATGAATCAAAAGTCTTTAAAATATTATTGTTAGGAGATCACTTGCCTTTTCCAAACACCCAACACGTCTGCTGCAGCAGTGACGTCAAAATTGACGTATATTTTCATCCGATAAAAGACAAAACCGGCCCGGAGAAAAATACGGAATTATTTTAATTTTACTTAGCCAAACCCAAAAGATTTAAAATAAAAAGCAAATTAATTTATTCTTTATATATTTTGTCTGGGAAATGCATTATAACAGAAAAAAAAAATTGTGAAAGGTTTTTTTTTCAGAAGGAAAGGGGGGGGGGGAACAAAGTAGAACTTTACATATAATTAATCATTAACAAATTCTTTCGAATTAATGTACATTTAAATTCATCTTTTGATATATATAATTGAAATTGCAATTTTACTTCAGTATAACAAGGAAAGATAAGTGAATACTGTTTCATATGATTCTCATATGATCACCGTTTCATATGATTCTCATATGATCACAGTCAAAACATTCGTATGAATTTTACCTGAGTATAACAAGGACAAATTAGTGAACATTGTTTCATATGATTCTCATATGTTCAGTTTCATATGATTCTCATATGATTATTGTCAGAATATTCATATGATTCTCATATGCAGGATCTTTCATATGAGAATCATATGTATATTACTTCATATGATTCACATATGTATGATCATATGATTCTCATATGATTGGCCACATATGATTCTCATATGATTGTATATACATATGATTCTCATATGATCCACATATGATCCTCATATGAAAGGCAATACATATGTGGATCATATGTGGCTAAATTGCCTATGTACAAACCATTAGGAATTAACTACATTTTCCTGTAAATTGTCACATATAGCTTTATATATGCACCGATAGTTCCTTAAGGTCATTATTTGTATTTTTCGTAATGTATGTGATTATCCTTATAAAGAATACATTCAAACAAAGGTATTTGTATCTTTTTCTCTGATTTGATTAATTTGTATGGTATTTTGATAAATTTACAAGGGAAAGTAGACTTACGGATGGAAAAAATAAATTATATTGGAGGGATCGAAATGATGGTATAAGGACCTTCATGATACCTGAAACCAACATAATATATCTTAAATTATTGAAGAGTACATAAAATTAATTTACGGATTCAACGGAAAGTCAGAGATGTGAAATTCAGACGGACGAATATGTACATAAAAATATAGATATAAATGCTATTGCATTGTCAGTCTAGTAATAGTTATTAATGTTATCAATGATTTTCTTTATTCAAATTTAAAAAAAAAAGAGCGATATAGAATTACAAATACTTGCATTGAAATTCATTCTTCAAAATATATTTCAGGATTTTAGCATCCAACAGTATAACCACAATAGAAGACCATGCATTCAGAGGTTTGAATAAAATACGGGAAATGTAAGTTTGTTATTTTTAAATATAAGAATATGAATCCTCTAAACTATAATATCCTGTGTTGCGATTTATTCAATTATTTGAAAAAATAAGAGAGACTGTCAATGAATTATTGTTTTCCGGGGGGGGGGGGATATCAATTTCCCCACTATAAACATTTCAGTTATTCATCTCCTTAATGATTTGACAAGATAAGTGACATTTTAAGCTCATTATTCAAAATATATTTTTGGAATATAAGTCTTTCATACTATAATATCCTATGCCTTCATTCTTTATTGACGATTGGTGGTATTTAAAGTGTAAATATTTATTTAAATTAAATAGAGTGCTCTTCACTTTTACTTTTATGTTTCATTTCGATTATTTTCTTCCAGTTATCTGCAGAACAACAAAATAAATACAATTAAGGACAACCTTTTTAATGGTTTGACGAGCTTAAATATCTTGTAAGTATATTTTTTCTAAGACTCCTTAACCATATATATTTTTGGAGTCTCTATCCACCACGGTATTACATTTTGCGTCTTAAATTCGAATCAACAATGTAAAGAAAAATATAATTTTCGTTCGGTTTTCTAATAAATAATGTATACAACTTGAGTAAGGAACAATGTGATACATAAAAATATGTAAAGTGTACTCCATTACAATACACTAAGATATTAGGAGATAACATACAATACTTGGGCTCAAGAGTCCAATAAAACAATACACTTCAGGATCAAATTAATCATTGACCTATATATAACATCAGAGATGAGATCAGATGCCATGGAGGAGATAGCATCCCCTGTCAACCGGTTATATTCACCGGCTCACTGCTTTTCATGATAATGATTTTTTCAAAGATTGAATTATAGTTGTAATGAATTTTCAGGGTGACAAATACCTATACTTGACTTTCAACCTTCAAATTTCTTTCAGAAATCTACACAATAACAATATATCCACAATAGAGGATAATGCATTCAGGGATTTGACAAACATAAATAGACTGTAAGTTCGTTTTCGTTCGCAATATCAATTGTAAAAAAAAATTACAATTGTGAAGAAAGGAAGAGAAAATAATAACGATTTCATAATGGAATCAGAACTGAAAATACACTTTAATTCCTTTCTTAAATCCTGAAATTAATTGTATACGTAAGGAAGTAAACATTCAATCGTTCATATTTTCTTTCAGACGTCTTGATAACAACAGGATATCCTCCATAAAAAACATCACAATAAGCGGGTTGACAAATCTACGAGAACTGTAAGTATCTAAGAATAAAGTGACATGAATTAGAACAACCTGGTTATTAAAAATATTTCAGAGGATATAAGGAGTGTTAAAGATTGGACGAAAATTATATTACCCACATATTTTATTTCAATATTCTTTTTAAAAATATCTCTCATAAGAACTACGAATGTTATAATCGTCGTTATAATCGAACTATAGTGGAGTTACTCGAATATTCCTTTATAACCCTCATTTATATGTAATTTATCTCAAACGTGTGATACTACCAATGAAAAAATGCCTATAATTTATCCACAGTAGGTGTCTAATTAAAGCACTTTCGGTTTTTCGACAATCCCTCGCTTCAAGATTTTAATTTAACAACAATATGAATCGTAAAAATTCTTGTCAATAAATACTGATAATGAACAAAACTCTTGTTCTAAAAAATAATGAAAGTTAACCAAAAAAAATGCTATAAGCAAGAAAACAGATAGGTTAACGTGAGTGTATACGTCGTGCAAAGACAGAATCAACTTCCACCTCCCCCCGTAAATTCGTTTTTGTAAGAAACTCTTTACAGTTTTTGTGGCACGCAGAGAAGGTCACTATTAACAATGCTTTCTTACATTAGACTGAATACATTATAACTCACCATTGAACTACAAATAGTGTAAATTGTGTGATTAATTGTATCATTTAATATTTGCTTTATCAAACGTGTTAAAATAGTGTATATTTGCTCGGCAAGACTCTCGTGTATATTCCATTTTAACTATGTGAAGCAAATATCAAAATCACACGATCTAGATATCCTTTCTATACTCAACAAAAAAAGTTCATATTCAGATTAAACATCACAAGATGAAATTACACCATTCAGTCGACGCCATGGTAACTGAATGCCCGCTGAATGGTCACTGAAAGGTCACTGAAAAGATCCTTTCCCGTGACTTTTCCGTGATCATTCCGTTACCATTCAGTCGACTGAATGGCAGGTACATTTTTTTTTTAATTTTACGTGTTTTGTTAAATTGTTATCATTTTTTAATTATATAAATAAATAATTGTTAAAACATATTTTTAAAGTTTATAACAATTTTAAGTTATACCAGGGAGTATACGACATATCTGATTTAAAAAATAAATACAAGATCAAGTGTAGATTTACAGGATATTTGCTATATTTCTACGTTCAATTCAAATTTTTCGCCGAATTTGACCTTATATATCCCCTCGTTTCTATGGTTAAATTGACTTTAAACTGTGTGTGATATTTAATTCCGAGCCAGAAATAAATCGATTATTTTTTTAAAATCTTGGATATCTATGAAACGCGAATGATTTAAATTGTATAATTTAATTACAAGAGTCTTTTCAATATTTAAAGTATCAGAAGAAATAGAAATTAAGATCCTTTTTATTTTAGTTTGTCCGAACGTATATTAAATACTTGAAATACAATTGAACATCTAAGTTTAACTTTGATTACCAGTTTTATTTAGGTACATTTATTACGATAATAAAACAAAAACACAGTTTAGATAGGATAAAAAATTTAGGCAAAATATTTTAAAGAAAAAATACTGATTAAAAATAAATAAGCCAGTGAAAAAAAATCGCTGAATTGATATTAAAATGTGTACTAAAGGATAACAGAAAGGTAGCTGAAAAATGACAGAAAGACGACGGAAAGGTCACTGAAAGTCAACGGAAAGGTCACTGAAAGTTGACGGAAAGGTCACTGAAAGATAACTGAAATTTGTATGCTGGATGGTGTCTGAAAGGTATCTGAAATATGACTGAAAGGCAACTGAAAGGTCACTGAAATGTACCTGACATTCAGTGACTGAATGGCAACTGAAAAGTCACTGAAAGCCGCCTTTCAGTTTTAACTGAAAGGTTTCGTTTCTTCCTGTGCATGATAATCAGTTTAAACATTAATTTTCAAAAATGATTTTAGAGTGCGTTGTGATAAAAATTAAATATGTCCCTTGTTCCAAATTGACAACAAGTTGATGTCATTGACGTTGCCTCCAAATTATAGAAACATACTTCTTTACCAATCCATATGTCCTTTGACACCTCGATCTCAGCGCTAGTGGATTTTTAATGTTGGGACGTCATGCACAAATACCAGCTTCTCTCACTTAGTCTTTTACGAACAATTTGTGCATTTTATGCTAATTGAGCAGTTTGTACAGCAGTTCTGAGTCGATTGCCTAGGTGTTGGGGGAGGATATGACGGTCCTTTCTGGGTTTGGTAACCCGCAAACAGCCAGTTCTAAATCTGTCATCTGTGTTCCTCAACATCAACATTACAATCAAAGCAAAAAATATGGATTTTATAGTAGGATTTATTGTTTCTCTAAATACAAAACTTCAATGAAGAACCCCGATTAACAAAAAATCATGCAAAACAATACTTTCATAAACATTATTAATCAAGGGAAATAATTACACAGGTAGGTTAAGGTTACAAACAAATATTTTACTTGCATGCCTATATGCTATGACGTCATAATAAGCTATATGACGTTAGATTTAGAGATAACATTTTCTTAAAATCGATATCTAAGATTGATTTGAGGTCGTAAAAAGGAACCAAAATATTCAGAGGAATAATATCAACGGAATTTTGTCGTTCCTGGGCCTCTGTAGTTATCACGGGGGTTACATACCAAACCCGTGACGTCATAACTGTTCATCATGCAGTAGCAGAGTGAAAGTGAAAAATAACGAAAATTGATGTAAACCAACACAAGAAATCGGAGTTTAAAAGCCTTTAGAATGAATATCATGTGTGATTCTTTTGGAAATAAAGCGTATGAATGAGGTATGGTAATATAATTCTGCAATTTCTTCGTAAGATTAAAGCAGGGAGGGTGTTTACTTGCCGATCAGCCTTTCCTCGGTCGTTCGAAACAAAAAAGATGCAAAAGTTCAACACAACACCGCATACCTTGATACTTAATTTTTAGCTCACCTCAACGAAGTTGGGGGGAGCTTATGTGATACCCTCGGCGTCGGCGTCGGCGTCGGTGTCGGCGTCGGCGTCGGCGTCCCGGGTTAAGGTTAAGTTTTTTGGAGCAGTTTTCTTTTTAAGTACTTCTATGTCCTATATTGATTAGACATGCATGGAAGATGTTGCTAGTGAGTTTCATTGTACCAGTCAAAGTTTCAGATGCTGAAATTTCAGCAAAGGAATGACCAGGTTAATGTTTTTGGTGCAGGTTAACATTTTTGGTGCAGTTTTTGGTGTAGGTCTCATTTCCGAGTAACTATAAGCCCTATGTTGACCAAACTTACATGGATGATACATCTTAGGATGCATACTACAAAAAGCCTTGCTTCGGATGCTGAATCTGACCTACATTTTCCGGTTGAGTGAACAGGTTAAAGTTTTTGGTGAAGGTTTCATTTCGAAGATACTTTGAGCCCTATGATGACCAAACTTGCATGGCTGATACATCTTAGGATGTATTCTACTAGACTTGCTTCGGATGCTGAATCTGACCTACATTTTCCGGTTGAGTGAACAGGTTAAAGTTTTTGGTGAGGGTTTCATTTCCAAGTTACTATGAGACATATAACGACCAAACTTACATGGATGATACATCTTAGGATGCATACTACCAGCCTTGCTTCGGATGCTGAATCTGACCTACATTTTCTGGTTGAGTGAACAGGTTAAAGTTTTTGGTGAAGGTTTCATTTCGAAGATACTTTTATGATGACCAAACTTGCATGGATGATACATTCTTAGGATGTATTCAACTAGACTTGTTTCGGATGCTGAATCTGACCTACATTTTCCGGTTGAGTGAACAGGTTAAAGTTTTTGGTGAGGGTTTCATTTCCAAGTTACTATGAGACATATAATGACCAAACTTACATGGATGATACATCTTAGGATGCATACTACCAGCCTTGCTTCGGATGCTGAATCTGACCTACATTTTCCGGTTGAGTGAACAGGTTAAAAGTTTTTGGTGAAGGTTTCATTTCGAAGATACTTTGAGCCCTATAATGACCAAACTTGCATGGATGGTACATCTTAGGATGTATTCTACTAGACTTGCTTCGGATGCTGAATCTGATCTACATTTTCCGGTTGAGTGAACAGGTTAAAGTTTTTGGTGCAGGTTTCATTTCCAAGTTACTATGAGACATATAATGACCAAACTTACATGGATGATACATCTTAGGATGCATACTACCAGCCTTGTTTCGGATGCTGAATCTGACCTACATTTTCCGGTTGAGTGAACAGGTTAAAGTTTTTGGTGAAAGTTTCATTTTCAAGGTACAGTGTACTATGAACCGTATAATGACTAAATTGCATGGATGGTACATCTTAGGATGCATACTACCAGACTTACTTCGGATGCTGAATCTGACCTACATTTTCTGGATTAGTGGAAAGGTTAATTTTTTATACAGGTTTCATTTGCAAGTAACTTTAAGCCCTATGTTGACCAAACTTACATGGATGATACATCTTAGGATGCACACAAATGGACTTGCTTCAGATGCTGAATTCGACATACATTTTCCAGATAATAGACCTTGTAAAAGTTATGGGTGCAAGTCTATCACCAAGAAACTATAAGGCTTATATAAACCAGTTGCTTAAATGATGCATCAAGGGATGAAAACTCTCAATCTTGCTTCAGATGCTGGATTTTAATTACATTTTCATGATGAAGAACTAGTTTTTAGTTTTTATATAGGTCTATTCCAAAGTATCAAAATTGCATAAATTTTGCATTTTTGGATGTACACTTTTTGTTGGTTAATTGTGTGACTTAATTAGCCTTACTTAAAGACAACACACGTTGAGGTGAGCTCTGTAATCTTGATTACCTATTTTTGTTTCTATCTAAAGTTCTTTTTCTTTTGTTTTTGGAAAGTGCTGCTAGAATCGAATGGTTTACGGGAATTGAAGGATTATTTTCGATGTTATGAACAAATTAAAATGTAAAAGTTTTGGGAAGGTTTCGTCCAAAATTGTTGAATAATTATTTCTATAAGAAGACAGTATGATTCTAGCAGCGCTTTTCAAGGTACAGAGATGTTTTAACATAACTATTAATATAAATTAGAACTTATTATCCCCGGGGTAGTGTTAAACTTTTCACTTTTTTATTAAGGCATATTTTCTTATTATAGACGTCACGTGGTGACGTCGTAGTGAAGTGCCTCCTGTAGTATAAGTTCCATTGAAGTCTATAGAATAATTATTACATAATTATAGTTAAAGTTTTATCCTTGACTTTTCCGATTTATTAGTGTTGTATAATTATAAAAAAGTGTTAATTCGCCGAATTCTGATCCATGTGCTGCCTTAACAAACCCGCATAAACAATTGGGGTTTAAAAGTCCCTAGTGTACTTTAAATAGGTTAGGGGTATTTAATGATAATTTTTTTTCCATATATATATACTTTTTTCAAAATTTCTTTGATGACTTAAAATTCTGCGGGTTTTTTTTAGTATATATGTAACGTATTGTTCAACAATTTTTAAAAGGCTGAATAGTATTTAGGAATTAAAATGCATTATTTTTTTTCTATTTTATCCAGGAGAATACAGGATAATCCTTTTCACTGCGATTGCGAGTTAATAGGCCTGGTCGATTTCCTAAAATCTGGACGTGTCACCGTGTCTGGAGATCCACGTTGCTTCACTCCTGAGAACTTAAACGGGGCTTCACTGGTCAGTCTATCAGCTGCAAACTTGACCTGTCCGGACACGACAACTATGGACACCACAACAATGGACACCACATCAATGGACACCACAACTATGGACACCACAACTATGGACACCACAACTGATGAAACCAATTCTTCACCTTTGAAAGAAGGGAACGTTCTGGTTATAGTATACCTGTTTTTATGTTTGCTTGTTAAATCCATGATGGACTTTTAGAATACAGGAAAAAAATAAATACAGATATTGAATTCAAAACAATTCGAAAGAAAATGCTAAAAATGACTTAAAATTAATGAAAACAGTGGAAAAACTATTTATTCCATTGAAATATTAGTGAATTTCCTGGATATACTAATATTTCCCGGGAAATAGTGGGAAATAGGAGAGAGCAAGACATAACTATAAAGTCTATCATATTTGGTTGGGTATAGATCTGTAGGACATTAAAGGATAAGATTACAACCTGGTATAACTGTTTTTGATTTTAAAATTAGGTTAATCCTTTAGTTTTTTTTTAAATTGAAACCAGTACAGTTTACTGAGATTCCACTATTATTTCTTTATGCTCGGTTCAGATTATTCTATAAAGGTCAATAAATAACTTAAACCTAAAGATACTATGTTGACTATTGTTATGTACCTTGAAAAGGATCTAGGAATTAAGTGTAGAATTTAGTATAAATATCAAAACCAAAGAGGAAACTTTTCAGACCTACCATTATAGTTCAAAAAGAACATAAAACCGTCCATTTTTTTGAAAAAAAAGACTTTTTGTTATAACATACTAATGGGTTATAACAAATCATTATGTTTTTGGATTAATAAGTAATACACGAAATAATTTTTATCACTGAAATTAAATGTTGATCAAAAACTTCATTTTTGTTCTTGAAATACAATAGGGGTAACATGTTCTGCTGTGTAATGTTTATGGGAAAGTGATCTGGAGTATTGATATATGATGAATATTAGATAATACATAGACATACTCAGTTTTATTTATCTATATGTTTATTTAACTACTAAGCTTTTTATAGTATTAGGTGAATATAAAGAATTAACTTTGTATTTCCAATATAGCTTAGGTTAGAGATTTTTTTTTTAGTATTTCCTGGTATACCCCGGCCAATTCTGGTACTAAGGTTTTAAGGTTATCGTATGAGGTATTAATACATGATATACCGTTTTATTTGTAATTCGTTATGGAATAATAGCTCCTTACACATATTGTAAAATTTATCGAAACTGCAATGTATAATTGACAGTTATCATAATCATAATTATCACATATGTGTAATGTAATTGTTGTCATATTGTCATAAATATGAAATAAGAATGTCAAGTAAATGGTAATACCATTTTATTTATAATAAAATAGTTATTTATCATAATAGAATTGATAATATTATATATTTTCTGTCGTCCTCTGTCATTTTATTTTCTATTAAACAAAAAACATAGTCTTTGTGAGTTTTTCCTCTTTGTTTTCTTAGATTCTGTGATTCACGTAGATTTTCGGTTTTTTTATGAGCTTAATGTTCATTTCATCTGTCAGACGCATTTGCTTCATTTTTGGATATTTTACTTGAAGAAGACGTTACAAATTAATGACATTTCTATTAAATTGAAAATTACCAATAAAAGTCATATATATAGCCATGCAAATTAGAGCTTTAAATAAAGAATTGAGATATTCATTTTAAGGGGCCATTTGAGTCACTTTTCATGTATTGTTCTTTAGAAATGAAAGTTTCTTTTATCACACTTCATCTGGACAGGAAACATTAAAATAGGGGATGCTTACTCCTCCATGGCACCTAATCACACCTCTGATGTTTCGGGGGTTTGTGTTTGCACTGCTCTTATTTTGTATTGTTTTAAGGACTTTGAGATTGAATACTGTTCGTTATTTCCATATCCTTTAAATCTTAAGACATCGTCGATTTGTAATATATGGACAAAATGAAGAGTTTACAAGCTCAAAAGTCCATAAAATAATACAAATTAGGAGCAGAGCAAATAGGGACCTCTAAAACAACAGTGATGGGATCAGGTGCCGTGGAGGAGTGAGCATCCCCTGCCGACCAGTCATAACCACCATGTACTCCAAGTCATCGGGAAATAACGGAAATAAGGTCTGAAATTCTGTGCAAATAATTTTCTAGCAATCAGTATCAAAAATGTCAATCAGCATTTGACTCAATGATGAAATATATTTCCTTACAATGTCATTGTATCCATCATAGAACTTACAAAATGGTTACTAAAGGATGTTTAAGGCACAGATTTGATGTTTATACTTTCTCAAATTCCCTGTATAATTTCATACATTCATCTTTTATGTTGCTATAGAATTACATTTAGGAAAATATTATAAAAATCTTATTTTTTCTAGAAGTTATCAAAACTTCAAAATCATAGAAGCCTTTGATTGACACATCCTTGCACCTTCATAATTTTTAACTTTATCCTTGATACTTAAAAAAGTATCAATTTTGTTATGTATTAATGAAAAAATATTAAAACTATAGTCAAGAAAATTCAGAGTAGAAATGTGCGAAGACAAATTAAACCAACACATCATGGGTTATTTTAAATAAGTGCTCAGTGGTGTGTGTAGAGTTTAACAATTGAACACACTCGGTAAAACGCAAACACTTACAAAAACAGAGCTGGTGCCCTGTTTAAGAAAACTGTGTACGTTTCAGGGGTGTATTCAATTTGTTAAATTCTGTAAACAACATTGAGCACGGGCTGACATTACTGAGGCCTGGGTTTGCTTTCGCACATTTCTACTCTAAATTTTCTGGATTATAGTTTTAATATTTTTCATTAATACACATCAAATTTGCTTTTTTCTTCACAAAAATAAGATTTTTTTATATTTTCGTTAGTAATGCTATAGCAACTTATAAGTCATGAAATTGTGAAGAAAATCTGAGAAAATATCAACATGAAATATGTTTCTTAGCACCTTTAAAACGAGACAGCTGATAATCCTATTTCTTCCACTTTTTTGTCATTAACATGTCATTTATCTCCTGGGTAACTCCTGTATGTTACTTCGTATTCTCTGACTGGAAAACTGTTTAAACATTTTTGTTACAATTAATTTTGTAAGTTTATTAAATTCTCATTTATTAATTCTTGTTTAAAAATGCATAAAATTGATTTTCTTTCTTTTTTTAAATTTTGAAGTTTTATTTTTTTATTTTATCAATTAATTTTTTTGTACACATTACGATATCGATCATAAAAATTAGAATAGTTTTCTGTGTATAGAACAGTTTCAAAAATGTATATAAATTTAAGATTACAGGTATCATCAAACCTATAAGCTACTGAATCTAGGAGATACATGTATAATAAATTTAACAAAGCCCAAAGGAAATGTTTTGCTTGTAATAATTGTGTTTAGGACGAATATCACTTTTACTGGTATGCCCTGTTCATGCAGATTATCGAAGCAATTTTTAAGAATATTTTATTAAACAAGTTGTGTTTGTAAAACACTATGCGCCCGGCGGCAACAAAATTAAAAAAGACATGTTTTAGCATAATGGACACAGTCAAATTCACAAAAAAGTGACCTTGGTGACATGTGAATGGGCTTAATTAGTGGAATATGCATGTCAAATATTAAGTCTCTATCTTTCTTAGTTCAAAAGGTATGGCGAAGGTTAAAGTTTGCCGACAAAATAGCTACATTTATGTATAGGTTACAGTCAAGGTCAGAGGGTCATTGACATATGCATACTCAATGAATGACGCTCTTTCAAATGACATCAAGATCAATGACCTTGTGACGTTGACGCTGACCTATATGCTAAAAACCTTTGTCATAACTTTTGAATCATGAAAGATAGAGACTTCATATTTGGTATGTATACTCCATTAACTATGTTCTTTCCAACGATATATACCAATGTCAATAACCTTGTAACCTTGACTGTGACCTATATGCAAAAAATAGCTTTTTCGTCTTCAAAATTCAACCTACGTCATTACTTTTGAACCATAAAAAGATTAGAACTTCATATTTGGTATGTTAACTTCTTCAAAATGACACCAAGGACATTGACTTAATGACCTTGACTGTGACTTTTATGCTAAAAATAACTCTTTTGAACCATGAAAGATATGGACTTCATATATTTCATACTCTGATTTTCAAATGATACCAAGGTCAATGGACTTGGCATTGACTTATGTGCTAAAGATAGCTTTTTTCGAACCCTGAACACATTGTTCTCCTGTAAATTAGCCACTTCTGTACTGTAGCTGATTGTATTATTTTGCCCCGGTATATACTGATAAGATGTAATGCTTAAAGTACAAATAAAGGAAGAGCAAATTCTAGCTGCATTACTTTACATTGCTATTAACAATTCTATGTTAATACTAAATATGCATATTTTGTGAGCGTTGCCTTTCAGATTTATGATACTAGTAAAACGGCAACATGTTGTACATGCTCGAAACATATGTTTATGTGTGAATTTCCAGTTAAATTAGTTACCGATCTAGTTCATTCAGTTCTTTATTACAGGTATTCAGGGACCTGTAACGCATCACAGGTGGGATAAGGTGCCATGGAGGAGTAGGCATCCAATGCTGACCAGTCACAACCACTGTGTGCATCATGTCATGATCCCGGAAAAAACGGGAAAAAATTTGTCTACATTGCCTTATGTCAATAATGCTCTGACAATCAGTAAGAAAAACGGCAATTAGCATTTGATCTAATCATAGATTATATTTCCTGAGAAGGTCATCTTTCCGATCATAGAATTTACGAAATGATACTCAAACGAGACTGCTGATATTTTCGTTCCATCTACTTGTTCGTCAATAAAGTACTTTGTTTTCAAAATTGTTCATACGGAGAGTTTTCTTTTGGGCATCAAATCAACTGCTGAGAGATGTAAACACCATATGCAAGTAGGAAAGCTGTATTGCAACATAAACTAGTGCTAATTGTAAAGGGAACCGTTACAGATGTTCCCCAAACGCTCCCCATCTCCCTTTTGGTGCCATATTCCCTGTAAGCTTAATTAAATAAGACAAATTCTGTGCATTTTTAAGGATATCAATTATATTCAAATTTTAGCATTTCACCCGTGCGCATGTAAATGCATGTGCGTTATGGCCATATTATCTTGTCTACCCTTTCTTTATATTTTAATTTACTTATGTTAAAGCATTTAGTCCAAAATTATTAAAAACCACTCATTCAAGTGTATTTTTAATTTTACTCATTCCAAATGCACGCACGTGCGTGCACATGCATGATGACCATACCTTCTTGTAGGAGTCCCTTATATTTATCTGTGTTCTAAATCCCATCCTGTTTGGTTGAAAAACAAGGGAGTTATAGTCATTAAAAGTTTCAGCCAATCAGATTGCAGCACACGTGCGTGCGCGTGATTACTTGAATTTTTTTGTATATCATATAGCAGGATATCCTAATGTATGGCTATGTTTAAAAATTTCAAAGCATTTCGTCCAAAAA